CTCTACAGCAGCTCTACGACCAGGATCTCACCATTCTACAAGGAGGTCATCATCGACGTCAAGAGAGGGGTTCGACAGGGCGACACCATCTCGCCCAAACTCTTCAGCGCCGCTCTCGAGAACGTCATGCGTCAACTGGAATGGGAAGACATGGGAGTGAAGGTCGACGGCCGGCAACTACACCACCTTCGTTTTGCCGATTCTTTACTTCATGGCGAAGCTTATACATAGCCGGAGAACGTCATGTTTTCGTCCTGTACTCACACTTCCGATCCTCAGATAATCTCAGTACTGGGATTATCCGAGGATCGGTAGTGTGAGAACAGGGATGAACGACAAGTACATGGCGCACTGAGCTTAGAGGGTGAATATCTCCCTGGTGTAATCTGCAAGAAAGGTGATTGTTCACGCACAATTTTTCCTTCACAAAACTGCCATTAGAGGAGCTGCAGTCTGTTCCCAGCAAGTGACATGAAGCCAAAAAAGGTGGAGGTCATCAAAGTTCCCATCCAAATGTGAAATGTTTTCCGATAGCCGCTACTCATCTACTTCTGGCCGCAAATATCTCCCCTATTTGACAGCCTCACATTGGGATATATTCGAAATTTGAGACGTGGATGAAACTTGCGAACACCAAACCCGCTCTCGAATGGCCGTCACTTTTTTGGAATATCAAATATTTCCTCGAAGATTACTTTCAAAGAACGGGCGTTCAAGAACCAGTTAGATATGGTCGATGCCCATAGAATGAGCAACACTCAAATATTAGCTTCGCCTACTGATCTGATGTGTGAATAATGTTGTTGTTTGCTTGTTCCGCAGTAGACGTCTAGAGGATTCTGACACATCGTCTGCTGATCGTTCCCCACGTTAAAGTTCGAACTATGAAGGTAAAAATAGTAGAGGAGTGTTCCATTGGAATATGACTTAAACGACCTGCAAGCGTTTGAATCAGCGTTCAGCTTCGCCAGCAATCCTGATCACAACTGAGCACAACCTAGAGCTGCATGTTCAGCCTTAGATTCGAGGGTGCAGGTCCACTCTTTGCCCCCGCCGGTAACAGGACCCGAACCAGCCTATTTACGGGGTAGGGGTGCTAGGAAACCGGCAGGTTGAGTGCTACGGTTTTTGATTTTTGGTTTTTGAAAGAGACTGTCTCGCTTAATCTTCATTGGCGCTATAATCGGTAGCAGCAGTACCAAGTAAGTAACGGTCGCAGGCTCTTCCCCGGGGCGAACTGTATTGCATATCAACCAGCATCCTTGTGATAGCATTCGTATCGCGAAATTCAGCCAAAAGAGCAGTCAACAAAATGGCAAATTAAGAAGCAGATCTTTTTGTAAGAAAGAGTATCCGTCCCTCTATCTATGGCAAAAAGTCGCAGCACATTTCATGAATTTGAATAAAAATATGAATATGTATGAATTTGAGCGGGCGGTACCCATTAACCCATTGGCGACAATGCGATTGTTTATATTTTCGAAAAATGCGTCGTAATGCACCAAACTACTGGCACCAAAAATCTTGAATCTCAAAGCAGACACTGTTGAGACTTTGCACGTTTCAAAACTTTCCCGATCGCACCCGAAATGAGCGTAAATCTTTTCGTTCGGCCAAGGGTGGATTTCGGAGTAAGCGAGGATAACTTCAATTTTTCACTACAGAATTGGCAAATAGGGTCGAATCCCATTCTCTTCTGGTTAGAAGTGGTACGAGCCCTCTAACTAATTGAAAGAAGAAG